TTATTTCCTTATATCCAGGGGAAGTGGAATTGTTTCTGCTGAAGTCATCCAATCACGTAGTAATTGTTTTTACTGTAAATGAAGAACCTGGTAATGTTCACCGAGTTGAATATAATGTGTTTAAGATTATTTGTGACTGTGATCAATGGAATTTGTGAATTTTGGCAAAATAATCTGTTTGATTACATATAAGGTCTCAGTGAAATATCATTCTTTTAGTGAATGATTTTAAGACCGGCAAATTTTATGTAAGATAAAAGAATTAGAATTATAAAAAATCAGTTGAACAAAACAAGTACGGTCAATATGTGTCTACTAACATTAGACTAATCTGATTGGTTAAAGATTACAATTATTTAGTTTTAAATTCGTGTACACTTCACTCACCACTACACATCAGATTACAGAAAATCAACATCTCTAAGTTATTCTTCTATCATGTCTAAAACAAACAAAGAGACTGTTGGTTCATGGAGAAAGTTATGCATCATCAATAAACGATTAGATGGGAAAATAGCAATTGTGACAGGATGTAACACTGGAATTGGTTTGTACACAGCTAGTGAATTAGCTCGTCGTGGTGCAACCGTCATTATGGCATGTAGGAGTATTGATCGAGTCAACCAAGCTAAAACACATCTATTGGAAATGTATGGAATTAACAATCGGAAAAGTCAAGATATCGATGTTGCATGTAATCAAGTGAAGTCTTCATTGAAGCCAATTGAGTCAGATCAGGTATGTTATTGCTGACTGAATTAGTCACATTGTCTTTGAGTTGGTTGCATGTCATTAGGAATGGTGTTTGTGATTGATCTGAAAAATGTGATGTATTGGCGCAGTACCATATGGTCACACACATACTTGTCTGGGCATTTTATATGAAAAATCATAATAGATCAATTAAATAAAAGCCCAAATAGACAATTGATAAATGTGAATGAAGTAGGGAGAAAAATAACGTAACATAGAAACAATAAGAAAGGGTAGGAAAGTTTCACATTACCCTAGGCTATAAAATGGCTTGAAGGTTATTACAGATTGTTTCTGTACACATAAGACGGACATTAATTTGAGTAAAGCCAAGGCTTTCATAATCCTCAAAATTTGTTTTTCAACTTTTCTGCTCAATATTTTGAACGCAGTCTTGATAACAAACTTGTGCCCTGTCTTAATTACGTGTTTTGTGATCAATTAACCTGGTTTTTTGCCTACATTATTTGGGTCACCTGAAGTTAACTGATTTTGAAGATAATTTGGAAAATGTCCCATAACCCTGGATTGCAAAGTCCGATTGCTCCTCTCTGTCTATAAGTCCAGAAAAACATGTAAATTGATAAATGCAGTTCAAATGTATCTTTCAGAGGAAACTTACACAATTTATTGCAAATAAGGCTGAGTAATTGAGCTAATAATTTGGTTAGTTTATGCAACGATACAAGTAATTCACTCGACTCAACCACCCATAGATCTCGCAGAAGACATGATCATTTCGAACCATTGAATCATATTTGATAAAGTGTGACAAGGTGACCGTTCATCGGGATCTATTTCAGCTTACATTATTATCATTGGTTAATTTTATTGACGTTATATTATTTTATCACGATTATCTCAAATACTACTACTACGGCTACCACTACTAGTACTATTACTACTACTACTACTACTACTACTACTACTACTACTACTACTACTACTACTACTACCAACACTACTACTGCTACTACTACTACTGATAATACAACAACAACTACTACTACTACTATTACAATCTTAATCGTTTGAAAACAAAATGGCAATGCACGATTACTTTCCCGATTATCTTATTGAGTTTACACTAGAAAATGAGTTATTTTACCGTTATCGACTACAAAACCGAACTAGTACATTCGCATGAACTGAAAGATGCGAACAGTCTTAACTATAAACTGAGTAACGGAACAATTTGCTTAGTCATTCCACTTGCCATTGGAAAACTGTGTTTGCGTGTTTATGCACAAATGTGATGATATTTCTTATCGTGTTATGATAGTAAAATCAACACGCCAGAAATAATCTGTGATTAGTGTGAACAAATGTCAAACTAAAAACTGTACTACTATTAATTGAATAGATAGTAACACAAATTAGGACAGTATTTACGTCTGATGGAAATGAACGGAAGGACAATAAATGTGGTTAACGAAAGTGATATAATTGAAAGCACTGAACAACCATCGTGAGTTCTCAAACTCTTTCCACAAACTGTGATTGTCACCAACCCCACTCTGTCTACAAACAACTCTGGAATCTCAATTCATTAGTATTACTTGACTGAATCTTCCCATTTGCGAGTCTTCAATAGGATGAAAAGCGCATCCTGCATTTCACTGTCTACAAAATGGGCGACAGTATCTGATCACATATTCACATAACATCAGATTCTACAACAAGACACACGTTCAGACGTTGCACAATAGGCCTTAAAGTGGCTTTTGAATCTGTTGATCGTGAGGTTCCATGACAGTGTTTGACACTGAATGGAATATAAGAGAGTTAACTTGTCTTGCTAGTTTCATCAGTGCTGATGGTCTAATGCGTGAAAAAATCTAGATATGGACACAGAAAGTGCTCAACCAGCTTTTGTAAATCTTAGTCAGCAGCTTCCAGACCCTGTTAATATCTTTTAAATCTGCTGCAGTAGTTTGTGGTATTTTGTACTACATTTCCATTAGGCAAAACAACAATACTGAATCTACTCATTTGTTGATTCGCGCATACACGAAGAACTATGTTCATGATAGTGTAGTGTCTAGTAATATGTAATGCACAGCCTTCAACCGAAATCAATAAACACACACGTCTTTTGACCTTGTCAATTATTCACCTCTGCGTTTCTCATTCTATTGTCTGTTTGCTTACGCAAATGTTTAAAATATACTCATCCACAAAACCATACTAGACTTTTAATAACCGTCATCGAGCAGACAGGGTTCGCACGGAAATAATTTGCGGAAATTGATTGAACGATTGAACTTATATCTTGATAAATCATTCGTCCGAATCCAAGTCATATCCCGGGTCACTAGAGTATTACCACTAGTCGTGTCGATTCATTCCATCGTCTTGACTGCATTCGCAGAAGCAGTGACCTATCACACAACCAGTGATCGATCATGCATTTTATACAAAGTCAAACGGCAATCAACAGTCATTGCCACATTCAATCAAACACAAACAACATCATTTCATTTCATATCAGATTCCTTGCTTTTTAGAACATTTAAAACAATTTTTCAGCTATTGTACAACTCCATCTCATTCTTTCACAATAACTCCATTTCATTTCAGTTGATAATTGAACAACTTGATCTAGCTTCGTTACAATCAATCAGAGATTTTGTAGATAGAATCAACAGTCAGTACACCAAAATCGATTTTCTCATCAACAATGCTGGACTCATACTAAAAAAATATACAACAACTGAAGATGGATTTGAAATGACCATGGGAGTGAATCATTTCGGACCGTTTCTTCTAACAGAATTGTTGATACCATTGTTGAAGAATGCTGCACCATCACGAATCATAAATGTTTCCTCCGCAATGCATGATGGTGGCCGTATCATCAAACCGGATTTACAATACAATGAGAAAACTTATAAACCAATGAATGTTTATAGTGCGTCGAAATTGGCCAATGTAATACATGCAATTGAATTGAGTGAACGTTTGAAAGGAAGTGGAGTGGTTGCTGTCAGTCTACATCCTGGAGTTGTGAGAACTGAAGTGATGAGGGATATGAGAGATTTTCCGATGGTAAGTGATTCTTACATATTTACTTCTGTTACGCTTGCACATTTTGATGTGCTTGAACTATAACGAGTTTATCTAGTTGGAAAAACGAGAGTGATGATCGAGAATCCGGCGACACGACATGCTACTTACGTCCGATTATCCCAACCCCCATATTGAGTAAAATAAGATGACTTGATATGAAGTAGAACCTGTATCCTACAAGCATGCAGAAAGTACGAGGTCCAAGTCCAGAAGCGAATCAGGATCCCGAACTAGGGATCCGGTCGAATAGGAAACAATATAAAAGTCTGTAACATTGACAGTTAATACGAACAATAGGAAGCAACATTTGAAGTGAAATTGATAGTCAGGACAACCAATGAGAAACAACATTGGAGCACGTGACATTGAAATCTAGGACGACCATAAAATTGACCAGTAGGTATTAACCAATAGGAACTGACCAATAATTCTTTTAGGATATTGGATGAATATCCTAACAACTTGGCAGAAAGTGAATTTGTTTATAACTTTTATGCTTACGAGTCTCACATTTATAAATGAAACAAAATGAGCGATAGTGAAATAAGTTAGTTATTTTGGTTTTGAACTATTTCATGTCAACTGATAAAATCTTCTAACGTGTTATAATGACATAGTCAATTTGAGCATTTCTGTGGGCTTCAAGGAATGAAATGTTCAGTTACAAAGTCCGCCTTAATTATAATCACAGGAGCTAAAACACATACGAATTTCCACGATAGTAGGATAATTATAGTGTATGACAACTACGCGATATTCGGAATCATGAACTGTACCTAAAATACACCAAGTTGTTTAACAGCCAAATAAGTAGTATAGTAAAACTATTTAGATTAATTTAAATTATCAGATCATTCAATCGAGCAGAATCTAATTCCTAGAACAACTTCAGAATAGGTTAATTCTAAAGCAGTTTTTTTTATATTGAGCAGCCATGAAATAGATAGTACAATACTTAGACATATTCGTATGTCATTCATATACATGAACAAATATCTTTGCAGAAAATTCATGCAAAAATGTACATCTGATTGCCATCTACTCACATAAACAAACTGATATAACCCGTTAATTTATTGAAAAATACCATTTTGTCTATAATCATTTTTTTTTCTGTTCATTCTTTTAGAACATTATAATTCCAGTGGCTCAGAAAGTACTGACTACACCATGGAAAGGTGCACAAACTACACTATACACCGTACTCACTGATAATTTAATCCCTGGAGGATATTATTCTAATTGTACATTGAAACAACCTTCAAAATCAGTTCGAAATGTGGAGGAAAGAAAATGGTTATGGAATAGAACATGTGAATTATTGAACATACAACGTGATCACTAAATGTGGAGATTCTCATATAAGTTAACTGTGTTGATATAATTCTGTAATCATAAGAAAACAATTGACAGAACGTGACAGTTTTCACATTGATGTCATCTATAATACGATTTCATTGTTCACACATTGATTTGAGTGAATGAATGAGTTAGCAGTTTAGCTTGTGTCTTCTGTTTAATGAATTGTAACTTGATTCGATAATATGAGTATTTTGATGAATAATGTGACTAGTTGAGGTTTTGTTTATTGGTGGACAGTGTATGATTAATTTGTCTCACAGATTATACTACTAGAACAGTAGACGAGAGTCTATGTGACAGCTATAGTCAGAACAAGGACAACTTGACCTGAAACTTCATCTGTTTCTAAACGTAAAAACAATTAAATTAGTACAATAATTAAGGAAATTACATCTATTAAATGAAACGAACAAACATACCGTGACTTATCGAAATGAATAAAATTATGAGTCACATTAATCTAATAAGATAATAGTGTCCTTGAATTAGTAGGACACATGCAACAGAGATAGTTTACAGACACATCAGACCAGATCAACGTGATGAGCACTTAAATCATGATCTGATTGGTTAGTTATGGACATCATTAACAGTCAGATCGATTTGAAAATTGTTTCCACCACAGATTGAGATGAGTGGGATAATCACTAGATATTAAACAACATTTCACATCACTTTCGGTAAAGCTTTATGCTTACCTCGCTGTACACACCAATGAATTCAAGATCGCTGAATTCTTCGTCTAAACAGAATTGAAATCGATTTTGAAAAACTAAATTTCTGTCATGATTGATGGTTTCCAAGATTGATTTGTTTCCATGCCTCTGATATTTTTCATGTATCATTAATCTGTTTTCATAAGAAAGGCGAACTCAGAAAGTGTGAGAACTACATCATCATCATTGTTACTTCAATGCCAGGCAAAGTCTTCAACAGGGTATTGATAATCAGAATGAAGGACCTCGTAGACGCTCAACTTCGAGATCGACATGCTGCATTTCCTAAGCTCGTTACACAGTGAACTGACAGAATCTAGATGGACGATCTGTAGTGTGCCGATAACTGCGTGTTCTTAAGCTCGGTTTATAAATCAGAAGATGAACTCGTATTGATAAATACGTTTATTCGAGGCACACCACAAAGCGAAGCGGAGAAGCGAATTGGAACAGGCTAAGAGCCAACTCTTTGGATTACAATGCGAGCGAGTGGACGAAGCGAATTGGAGAAGGCTAAGAGCCAACTCAAAGAGATAGAGTATGACTAAGAATATATAGTCAGATAAAAATAAGACAGACATATGACAAGCGAAATAGGTATGCACACACATGAATAAAAGCGACGAATGATTGACAAGGTCAAATGACAAGCGATACAAATCATGTGAGTTCATGGGAATATTAAGAGATTAACATTTAAGCAAAAAAGATGAGTAAGCGCGTAGGCGTAAGCAATGCTCAGTCGTATAAGCTCATACAAACCAGATAATAAAAAATACCAATGGTACATATGAGTTGTTGCTATACAAATGGCTTGGTTAAATAAATTAATCGAAAGGGCTTAAGCAAGTTAGATGTAAGAGAACTGGAATATATGTGGAGGCACTACAGATCTAAACCTCACATATGATCTGACTGTTCTATCGTACACAGAACAACAAATGCAAGAGAAGACGACCAGTGAAGCCGAAGCCTCAGAAGCAGCAGGTTCCAACATACATATAAAGAAAAGCAAGATTCTTTGATGCAACATAACACGCCTTGGGAGGATGTTACTACCTTTACAAATATGGGCAGCATCATTGACGAGCAGGGTGGATCCGATGCACATGATAACGCGCGGATGGGCAAAGCGAGGGCTGCATTCTTACAACTGAACAACATCTGGAACTCCCAACAACTATCAATGAACACCGATGTTAAAATTCTCAATACAACACAGTTCTGTATGGAGTAGAAACTCGGAGTACTACGAAAGCTAACATCCAAAAGATACAAGTGCTTATTAACAGTTATCTACGCAAAATACTTCGTATTCGTTGGCCAGACACGATCAGCAACAAATTACTGTGGGAGAGAACAAACCAGATTCCAGTGGAGGAGGAAATTAGGAAGAAGTGGTGGAAGTAGATAGGACAGACACTACGAAAATCACCGAACTGCGTCACAAGACAAGCCCTCACATATAACCCTCACGGTCAAAGGAAATGAGGAAGGCCAAGGAAAACATTACGCTGAGAAATAGAGAAAGATATGAGAAGAATGAAGAAACATTGGACAGAACTGGAAAGGGAAGTCCAGGACAGAGTTGGTTGGAGAAAACTGGTTTCGGTCTATGCTCCATTGGGGGTAACAAGCGTAAGTAAATAAGTAAGTAATGAATCTGTTTTAGTGGCTACATCAAAATTGGATGTAGTGGTCATCAACTTAGCGGAGAAAATTTGTAGCTCAGGTGGATGATTGAGGCCCACGGTTTGACTACGATTAATACGAATGATAGAATATGTGATGAAATAAAATTCGTTTCTGTTTTCTTACATCAAAATTATGCGAACCAGGTTGTGTGCGATGCCGATGATGAAAAGCACAATACGGCTATGAGAATGAATTTATTTCATTGGTTCATTTAAGTAGACAGATATGAGATTGAAATGCGTACAAGCATAACAAAGCGAAATGAATCAGGCGAGTTAGCCAACTCAATCCGATCAGTATTTATAGTCAGACATTAAAAGTCCAGATGTGTTATAAACAAAGTAAGCATGCACCTACTCATTCAAATAAAAGCAACCATGAATTTTAGCGAATAGTTGACAAGATTGAAAGCATAGATCGACAAGATTGGATTAATTAATTTACCCGAAGGCTCGGACAAGCTCTGCAGGCTCGAAATATCTGTAACAATCTTACACATTCATTACTATGGATTCACGATAACAATGTAACCTCGTTTGAAGGTTTAATAAGTTACACATATATGGTAATGAAATAGTTCAAAACCAAAATAACTAACTTATTTCACTATCGCTCATTTTGTTTCATTTATAAATGTGAGACTCGTAAGCATAAAAGTTATAAACAAATTCACTTTCTGCCAAGTTGTTAGGATATTCATCCAATATCCTAAAAGAATTATTGGTCAGTTCCTATTGGTTAATACCTACTGGTCAATTTTATGGTCGTCCTAGATTTCAATGTCACGTGCTCCAATGTTGTTTCTCATTGGTTGTCCTGACTATCAATTTCACTTCAAATGTTGCTTCCTATTGTTCGTATTAACTGTCAATGTTACAGACTTTTATATTGTTTCCTATTCGACCGGATCCCTAGTTCGGGATCCTGATTCGCTTCTGGACTTGGACCTCGTACTTTCTGCATGCTTGTAGGATACAGGTTCTACTTCATATCAAGTCATCTTATTTTACTCAATATGGGGGTTGGGATAATCGGACGTAAGTAGCATGTCGTGTCGCCGGATTCTCGATCATCACTCTCGTTTTTCCAACTAGATAAACTCGTTATAGTTCAAGCACATCAAAATGTGCAAGCGTAACAGAAGTAAATATGTAAGAATCACTTACCATCGGAAAATCTCTCATATCCCTCATCACTTCAGTTCTCACAACTCCAGGATGTAGACTGACAGCAACCACTCCACTTCCTTTCAAACGTTCACTCAATTCAATTGCATGTATTACATTGGCCAATTTCGACGCACTATAAACATTCATTGGTTTATAAGTTTTCTCATTGTATTGTAAATCCGGTTTGATGATACGGCCACCATCATGCATTGCGGAGGAAACATTTATGATTCGTGATGGTGCAGCATTCTTCAACAATGGTATCAACAATTCTGTTAGAAGAAACGGTCCGAAATGATTCACTCCCATGGTCATTTCAAATCCATCTTCAGTTGTTGTATATTTTTTTAGTATGAGTCCAGCATTGTTGATGAGAAAATCGATTTTGGTGTACTGACTGTTGATTCTATCTACAAAATCTCTGATTGATTGTAACGAAGCTAGATCAAGTTGTTCAATTATCAACTGAAATGAAATGGAGTTATTGTGAAAGAATGAGATGGAGTTGTACAATAGCTGAAAAATTGTTTTAAATGTTCTAAAAAGCAAGGAATCTGATATGAAATGAAATGATGTTGTTTGTGTTTGATTGAATGTGGCAATGACTGTTGATTGCCGTTTGACTTTGTATAAAATGCATGATCGATCACTGGTTGTGTGATAGGTCACTGCTTCTGCGAATGCAGTCAAGACGATGGAATGAATCGACACGACTAGTGGTAATACTCTAGTGACCCGGGATATGACTTGGATTCGGACGAATGATTTATCAAGATATAAGTTCAATCGTTCAATCAATTTCCGCAAATTATTTCCGTGCGAACCCTGTCTGCTCGATGACGGTTATTAAAAGTCTAGTATGGTTTTGTGGATGAGTATATTTTAAACATTTGCGTAAGCAAACAGACAATAGAATGAGAAACGCAGAGGTGAATAATTGACAAGGTCAAAAGACGTGTGTGTTTATTGATTTCGGTTGAAGGCTGTGCATTACATATTACTAGACACTACACTATCATGAACATAGTTCTTCGTGTATGCGCGAATCAACAAATGAGTAGATTCAGTATTGTTGTTTTGCCTAATGGAAATGTAGTACAAAATACCACAAACTACTGCAGCAGATTTAAAAGATATTAACAGGGTCTGGAAGCTGCTGACTAAGATTTACAAAAGCTGGTTGAGCACTTTCTGTGTCCATATCTAGATTTTTTCACGCATTAGACCATCAGCACTGATGAAACTAGCAAGACAAGTTAACTCTCTTATATTCCATTCAGTGTCAAACACTGTCATGGAACCTCACGATCAACAGATTCAAAAGCCACTTTAAGGCCTATTGTGCAACGTCTGAACGTGTGTCTTGTTGTAGAATCTGATGTTATGTGAATATGTGATCAGATACTGTCGCCCATTTTGTAGACAGTGAAATGCAGGATGCGCTTTTCATCCTATTGAAGACTCGCAAATGGGAAGATTCAGTCAAGTAATACTAATGAATTGAGATTCCAGAGTTGTTTGTAGACAGAGTGGGGTTGGTGACAATCACAGTTTGTGGAAAGAGTTTGAGAACTCACGATGGTTGTTCAGTGCTTTCAATTATATCACTTTCGTTAACCACATTTATTGTCCTTCCGTTCATTTCCATCAGACGTAAATACTGTCCTAATTTGTGTTACTATCTATTCAATTAATAGTAGTACAGTTTTTAGTTTGACATTTGTTCACACTAATCACAGATTATTTCTGGCGTGTTGATTTTACTATCATAACACGATAAGAAATATCATCACATTTGTGCATAAACACGCAAACACAGTTTTCCAACGACAAGTGGAATGACTAAGCAAATTGTTTGGGTACTCAGTTTATAGTTTGACTGTTCGCATCTTTCAGTTTATGCGAATGTACTAGTTTGATTTTGTTGTCGATAACGGTAAAATAGCTTATTTAATATTGTAAACTGAATAAGTTAATCGGGAAAGTAGTTGTGCATTGTGATTGTGTTTTCAAATGATTACGACAGTAGTAGTAGTAGTAGTAGTAGTAGTAGTAGTAGTAGTAGTAGTAGTAGTAGTAGTAGTAGTAGTAGTGGTAGTAGTAGTAGTAGTAGTAGTAGTAGTAGTAGTATTAGTGAAAAAGTACGCACGTGGGGGAACAGAATCGTATTTAACGAATATTACAGAGTTACTCAGTAAAATTGGAAAACCATATCGTAAATCGTTCATTTGCAAAATAACAGTTCATCATATCGAACTGGACTGTTCCTGTTGCAAAACATCAATCCATTGTCACTATTCATGCGTTTCATACAAATTCCATTGTTTTCCCACTCTTCTCTTCTTGATCTTCCCCCCATCTTCTGCTGCCAGACATTACGTTGACGCTCACGTCATATACTACTTATAAGTAGCTCGCACCACAGCACCACAGTAGTAGTAGTAGTATTTGAGATATTCGTGATAAAATAAAATAACGTCAATAAAATAACCAATAATAATAACGTAAGTTGAAAAAGATCCAGATGAACGTTCACCTTGTCACACTTTATCAAATATGATTCAATTGTTCGAAACAATCAAGTTTTTTTCGAGATATGAGGGTCGTTGTGTTGAGTGTATTGATTGTGTTGTTGCAGTAACTAACCAAATTGTTAGCTTAATTACTGAACTTAATCTGTAATAAATTGTGTAATCTTTGCTTGTAAGATAGACTTGAACTGAGTGATGTTCTTGATCACAATATTATTAATAAAGTCTAGTTATTCTTTTTTCAAATGTACAGATCCAACATTCAAACTATATGCCGTGTTTTACCATATTTTATGCATTTTTAATGAGGAAATGTGAGTGAACTTCACATCGAGGGAGGACTCGGAGTGCCCACAACAGGCGTATATTTTTAAAAATTAAATTATATGGCTATTGTACATCTGGTAAGGCCTATTAAAGAAATAGTCTCATACATCATTTTGCAAGTTCAGCCTTCACAGTGTTTAGTCTTTTCTTTCCAAAACATTTATCCTTGGTTGCGCAGCAAACGAAAGAGAACAGTATTACATTAATGACGTTTCAAGGTTATTACACTGGCCTATCGTTTATTAAACGACTGTGTATATGACCTTGAGTACTAATTGAATTGGGACAACTGAACAGTTTGGTGTAATTCTTCATATCCAGAAAGTCCGTCTCATGCACTGTCTCGTAATTAATACATACAGTTCTAGCATTATGAAAAAATTATTTCGTCACTTGTAAGAGCTACTTTCGCGAAATTGGGTAATCCCTGCGTTTAGTCCATCCTTTAACTAAACATGGAGTCAATCAACGAAATTGAATTAAGCGACGTTTTTGATAGTTCAAGAATGAACTCTTGACCTTCAGCTTACATTTCTCACTCGGAAAATTCTTGACTGTCATTGGTTGATGGATTATTTTAGTATGCTATTTTGTGGCTCTCATCAAGGGTGTTGTATCATTGTATAAATGAGCTAGAATTATGTGCTTGTGTACATCATGCTTTATGGTTGCCTCTGGAATATATTTCTCTACGTCTTATCAAGACTTCTTCATCTAGTTAGTAGGACCTGGGACGATCAGATTAAAGTAGACTATCGTGTCACTATATCGTTGATCTTCATTCCGTTTACAGAGTAGATGAACTCGTAATAGTTTCAAGTGTATCCTCTGACGAACATATCATTATTATAATCGATTGTACCGGTAAACGTATTATCGCATATGTTTTTACTCATAATTTCGTTTGTACACAATGACTTTTGATCTTTTTGTTTATTTGCTGACAGTACACTACAGTCACACGGCCTACTCCTCTTTCCAGTTGTCATCTTGCTGTGACTGCTCTGTACTCTCGTCTGTTCTCTGACACGTTTCGATGTGCCTTAGATACCACGAAATCACCAGTAAATACACCTATTTCATCTAGTCTGTCCCATCTTCTTCCTTCCTATAAAAGATCTCAGATGATGTGTGAGACCCGAACTCAATTCATAGTCCCACGACTCGAACATCTTTAGTAACATTCATATTCGTTGATTTCAATCTGTGATTCGAGAGTTGTCTTTCTCATCGATTCATTATGAAAGGACTGAACTCATACATGAATGCACATTTACAAACAAGAGGTTTTCACCTGACACAAACGGGTTCTGTGAAGCCGCTGACGAAGTGTGGTGTGTTTGGAAAAGTTTAAGAACAACGATCTACAGCCCTCTCTGTTTAACTTCATGAGTATGATATATGTGTAGATCACAAACACTGGTTGATAGACAACTTCGGATATTTGATTGTTCACTGATAAATGTTTAATTTAGGCTTAAATTGTTGTTAAACAGAATGTTAATTGGTTTTGCGAGTATGGCATATTACATAAGGAGATCGTGAAATGTGTTATATATTTTCATACTAACTCCCTGACAGTTTTTCACACATTCAGTTGAATAAAAGTCAAGAGAACCGCAACCAGGGTATTTTACTAGTCTACCATTTTAATGACTGAGTCGAGTGGTTTATACTTCTTGAATGATATTAATTCAACAACCGTGAAAGCCAGTCGTACTCGAATGCTACTGACCTCTGATAAATCGGATCGAAATAGGTTTCTTAAATGGAATCTGTCATGAAGGTCATTGACGGCAAGAGTGATACAGACAAAGTGTTGGCTCTCAAAATTTCATAACATACTAATACGCGTGTTACATTCCGCACCCGGGCTAAAGTTAAATGAAGAGGGATTCCAAACCGTAAGTCAATTACTTTGCCCCCGGTCTCAAAGTCAACAGAGGTTTAGTTGTGAATATCAATGAAAGTGATGTACAACGTTGTATAATATCTAGTGATTCTCCCCACTCATCTCAATCTGTGGTCAAACTAATTTCAAATCGATCTGTCAACCGAAAAACAAAATCTCAACCAATTACATTATTCAGCCAAGTTACAATTCATCAAACAGAAGACACAAATTAACTGCTAACTCATTCATTCACTCAAATCAATGTGTGAACAATGAAATCGTATTGCAGATGACATCAATGTGAAAACTGTCACATTCTATTAATTGATTTTTTATCAAAATTATTCACTATAAGATGACGAGCAATAGAAATAGAGAATTGTGTCAACACAGTGAACGTATATGAGAATCTCCACATCTAGATATCACATTGTATGTTCAATAATTCACATGTTCTATTCCATAACCATTTTCTTTCCTCAACATTTCGAACTGCTTTTGAAGGTTGTTTCAATGTGCAGTTAGAATAATAGCCTCCAGAGATTAGATTATCAGTGAGTACAGTGTACAAAGTAGTTTGTGCACCTTTCCATGGTGTAGTAAAAAAGGGCCAAATTAAAGATTGTATGACATTCTGAAAAAGAACAGATTTCAAATTATCACTAAAAGGTTTCATAATTTATATCAATAAATGATTTTAACTTAACAGCCATTGAAACCCATGTTGCACTGGGGAATTGTTTTCTATATGAGACTGCGTGTTATAAGTTACTGTATTTTGTGCACGGTGGTCAGCTGACAAACTCGTTCGAGGTGAAGCACGGTGTTAGGCAAGGTTGCTTACTCTCACCGTCAAGACAGTTCTCTATTGTATGGAGCGGCAACTTGGAGAACTACGAAAAGCATCATCCAGAAGATTTAAGTAATCATTAACAATTGTCTACGCAAAATACTTCAGATTTGTTGGCCAGACACTATCAACAACAACTTACTGTGGGAGAGAACAAACCAGATTCCAGTGGTAGAGGAAATCAGAAAAAAGTGGTGGAAATGGATAAAACACAATACGGAAAGCACCGAACTGCGTCACAAGGCAAGCCATCACATGGAACCCTCAAGGTCAAAGGAAACGAGGAAGGTCAAGGAACACATTACGCCGAGAAATAGAGAAAGATATGAGAAGAATGAACAAAAATTGGACAGAACTGGAAAGGCAAGCCCAGGACAGAGTTGGTTGGAGAATATTGGTTTTGCGGCCTATGCTCCATTGGGGGTAACAGGCGTAAGTAAGTAAGTAAGAATATTTGGTAGGCAATAAACTCTGGATTCACAGAATAATTTATTTGGCAATTAAGTATTACAGGTTATACTTTATAATCAAAGTATTAGAACCTTGTTTGATCTTTTTAAGGACTTAGATGTTCACATTTCTATAATCACTGAATAGGTGATGATATTTGTTTATAGTTTTAGTGTCGATTGAATCCTATCTTCTCAGCTGTAAGGCAGCCACTAATCGTTTAGTTACCCAAAAAATAGGATGATAAAGATGTAAAGGATATATATCCTATTTGCTTCTCTATCAACCGATCCCGCTAATTAAAAAACAGGAGATTTAAAGATTCAGATATGAAGAAAGGAATTGTAGGTACATATATTTCAGATATTCATGAAGTCGGACTGTTGGGGATGTTAGATCCCCACGAACTCGCTTGATAAATGCCTTTCTTTTGGAATTCACGTCTGCGAGCATGGGCTGATCAGTTGACCTTGAGATTTCATTTCCCACCAGGAAAATCTATGGCTGTGATTCGCTGCTGTGTGTGTATTTTAGTGTGTTATTTTCGTAACTGTCCCAAGCACGTTTCTATGATGTATAAATAACGAGAGTTGTGTGCTTGATTGTATTGTGATTGCTGGGTGTTTTTAGAATAAGCGTAAAATACGCTTACAAAGCCTTCTATCTTCAGCTTCGGATTCAAAGTAGCCTATCTGGACTCGTAATTGTCTCGTTCGCGTTTATCGATTAAGATGAACTCGTAATAGCTTCAAGCGTACCTAGTGACGAACCCTACACGGACAAACATTTGGATGACAGATGAGAAGCGAAACAGATATGGCAAGCATGCCAATATCATTTGATAAATCGTGATTCAAATTTTACAGTCCGATATAATCATCAGCTTAATACAAGCGATATGTAGTGTAATCAATAAACACGCATGTCACTATTTGAAACAGCCAAGATTACAGGGATATAGGTAATCACGTAAAATTTTGTGTGGATAATGAATCGGAAAGAATAAATTAGCTGGTCTGTTTGAAAGTCTCAATAATAGATGTGAGTGTGACATGATAATAGGTCCTACATTTTAAATGGTCCTATGTTTACTACTTATCAACACGTTGTAGCATATAATATAGAGTTAGTCATATTAATGGCTATAAAACAACTTGATTGATTAAGTTTCGGTGGGACCAAGACAAAAATGACACTGCATACAACTAAGTAATCAGTGAATTATAAATCACGATGTTAATTGTTAACTTTCGAAATGTATATTTACAATTATTATCAATTAGAGTAATGAAGATTAGTGTTTTTACACACTGAAATCATCAGTCAGTCACTGTTAGACCACTATTAGAAAGCTAGAAGCACTGGACGGCTGTTTCGTCCTGGTCTGGGACTCATCAGTGGCAGTGCGCATCTACGACTCCTGCAGCCCACAGGATTCGAATCCGGGACCTTTGGTTTTGTTCGCAAACGCCTAACTTCTGGAACGATTTGAATCCTGAGAGGTGCAGGAGTCGTAGATGCGCAGTGATGATGGGTCTCATACCAGGACGAAACGGCTGTGTAGGGATTCCAGGTTTCCAATGGTGGTATAACAATGATTGATTAATGATTTGAATGTGTTATACATATTAGTCAGTGACAGTCTGTTCAGTGAAATAGTGTCTAGGATTCTTAGCTGAGGTAATGATTGTTGGTAGTTTTCTTTATATCTCTGAACAGCTTTATTATTTTCACATTTCTTAGGAATGAACTGAATCAATTCATTGTACTAATATGCTCGTCTGTAGGTATTGATATCGCTTATTAGAGATCTGTTAATCTGTCTCATTTTTGCCGATGAAATAGTTCTGCTAAGTAAATACATTAGAAAGAAACAGTCTCTTTTTTTGGTCAATCTTTCGAAACTGGTTTACCTCATCTGATTAACCAGACTCTGATCAACTGCCAGCACAGATACAAAAAGTCCATTTGTCATGGGTATGAGGCAGGTACCCACAGAAGATAATGGATGGAGTCAAGCGATGCGGTGGGTTGATTAAAGTTAAGCATCAACACTGCTAGATGCTGACTCAGTAGTCTAGAGGTTAGGCGTTCGCGTAATACTGAAGGTCCTGGGTTCGACTCCCTCGCTCAGGAGGCATGGATATGCCCTGCTGTTGAGTCACACAATAAGACGAAGCGATAGTCCAGTGATCCCAGGTTTCTAATGGTCGTCTAACATTGATCGATTCATGATTTTAATAAAATATGTTTGTTCATAAGTAGAATTTGATTGTAAACAGTATTACATAATCCATGAAATAGACCGTCTACTTTGTTTCATATCATAACACTACTTGTCAAGTAACTGTACACAAATCGATATCAGCAGGAATAAAAACCTTGTTCTCTAGGTTTAGGATGTTTGAATTTATGGAATTTTATAACTTATCACTTCCTTCTTTATTATAAAAATTGTCAACCGTGTCTAAATAACTTACTAACGCCTGTCACCCGCAATGAAGCATAGGCCGTCGACCAGTGTTCTGCAGCCTACTCTTTTCTGGCCCTCCCATTCCAGTTCTGTCCTATTGTTGTTCATTCCTCTCATATCTTTCTCTATTTCTCAGCGTAATGTGTTCCTTTGCCTTCCTCTTTTCCTTTTGCCTTGAGGGTTCCATGTGAGGGCTTGTCTCGTGACGCAGTCACGTGCTTTTTGCCGTGTGTCCTATCCACTTCCATCGCTTCTTCCTGATCTCCTCCTCCACTGAAATCTGGTTAGTTCTCTCCCACAGTAGATTGTTGCTGATAGTGTCCGGTCAACGGATCCGAAGTATTTTGTGCAGACAACTGTTAATAAACACTTGTATCTTTTGGATGTTAGCTTTCGTGGTTCTCAAAGTTTCTACTCCATACAGAACTGTCTTGACATTTGTATTGAAAATCCTGACTTTGGTGTTGATTAATAGTTGTTTGGAGTTCCAGGTATTGTTCAATTGTAAAAATACAGCCCTCGCTTTGCCGATCCACGCGTTTATATGTGCATCGGATCCACCCCGCTCGTCAGTGACGCTGCCCATATATGTTAAGGTAGTAAAGTCCTCCCAAGGCATGTTATGTTGTATTAGAGAATCTTGCTTTTCTTTATATGTAAGTTGGAACCTGCTGCTTCTGAGGCTGCTGCTACACTGGTTGTCTTCTTTTGCATTTATTGTTCTGTGTGCGATAGAAGAGTCAGATTATATGCGAGGTTTAGATCGTCCATCTAGATTCTGTCTGTTCACTGTGTAACGTGCTTCTTTCTAGATTTCGTCGTCTTCATAATCCAGGCGATAAAGAGAAAGGGTGTGAGTAAACAACTTTGTCTGACGCGGATCTTCAACTCGAACGATTCTGTCAGTTGTCCTCCATGCACGATTTCACAGTTTAATCTATCATAAGAATTTCATATGATGTTGACTATTTTCTGATGGACTTTATAGTGCCAAAGAAGCCTCCATAGTGTTGTCCTGTTCCACGCTACCAAATGCTTTCTCGTAGTCAATAAAGTTGATGTAGAGTGGTGAGTTCCATTCAATTAATTGTTTCACAATGATCCGTAATGTTGCATTTCGGTCGGTACACCATTGATACTTACGAAATCCCGCCTGCTGATCTCGAAGTTGAGTGTCTACGAAGTCCTTCATTCTGTTTTAAAAAACACCCTGTTGAAGACTTTGTTTGGTAGTGAGAGAAAAGTTGACTGCGTCTACTATGAGTTTGTTGCAGTGATTTCTTTCAGTTCCGTATATTTTTTCGGTTTTTTAATTACTTTACAGGGTAATTAGGAATAAATGCTCTGGAGTAAATATACTCAGTTCGCTTATGATGAACTTACTTACTTACTTACGCCTGTTACCCCCAATGGAGCATAGGCCGCCCACCAGTTTTCTCCAACCAACTCTGTCCTGGGCTTCCCTCTCCAGTTCTGTCCAATGTTTGTTCATTCCTCTCATATCTTTCTCTATTTCTCAGCGTAATGTGTTCCTTTACCTTCCTCTTTTCCTTTTGCCTTGAGGGTTCCATGTGAGGGCTTGTCTCGTGACGCAGTTGGGTGCTTTTCGTAGTGTATGTCCTATCCACTTCCACCGCTTCTTCCTGATTTCCTCCTCCACTGGAATCTGGTTTGTTCTCTCCCACAGTTCGTTGTTGCTGATGGTGTCTGGCCAACGAATCCGAAGTATTTTGCGTAAACAACTGTTAATAAACACTTGTATCTTCTGAATGATGGCTTTGGTAGTTCTCCAGGTTTCCGCTCCATACAGTAGAACTGTCTTGACATTTGTATTGAAAATCCTGATTTTGGTTTTGGTTGAAAGTCGTTTGGAGTTCCAGATATTTTTCAACTGTAGAAATGCAGCCCTCGCTTTGCCAATCCGCGCCCTCACATCTGCGTCCGATCCACCTTGATTGTCGATGATGCTGCCCAGATATGTAAAGGTGTTAACTTCCTCCAAGGCATCTCCATCAAGAGTGATTTGATTGGTGCATGTTGTGTTGCATCGGAGAATTTTGCTTTTTCCTTTATGTATGTTGAGACCTACTGCTGCAGAGGCTGCTGCTACACGCTTATGATGAAGCCATATTATGAAAAATTATATGCGGATTTCTTGAGATTCTGTTTCATATGAAAGTAATCATAACTACCGAAATGAATACCTAATATTAAATTTGATATATAACTAAAAAATATAACTGAAAAATTTCGTCAAATATTATCTCAATACTAAAATAAATAAATCGAACCGTTGCAAAACCCTTCATATCTCTCATCACTTCAGTTTTCACCACGCCAGGATGTAAACTGACCGCAATCACTCCACTTCCACTTAAACGTTCCTTCAATTCAGTAGCATGCATTACATTAGCCAATTTCGAATCACAATAAGCACTTGTTTTTCGATATCCATTTTCTGTATACTGTAAATTCGGTTTAGGAATATGACCATAATAATGTGCCATAGAAGATACATTTATAATTCGTGATGGTGCAGCATTCTTCAACAATGGTATCAATAATTCTGTCAGCAGAAATGGTCCGAAATAATTCACTCCCATGGTCATTTCAAATCCATCTTCAGTTGTTGTATATTTTTCTAGGATAAGTCCAGCATTGTTGATGAGAAAATCGATTTTAGTGTACTGACTGTTGATTCGATCTACAAAATCTCTGATTGATTGTAACGAAGCTAGATCAAGTTGTTCAATTATCAACTGAAATTTTAGAAGAAAATTGGTGTACAATATAGAAAATTAAACTGTCATTGTAAAAAACTACAAAATGTTCAACGATGTTAACTAGAATAAAATGAACTGGATTAGAGACTTGGCTGAAAATTATTTACAATGGCACAGATGCATTGATTCTTTGTTATCGCCGAACTTTTAATCTTCGAAATTCTCTGTGTAAAAACGTTTTAATAAAATTAGGTGTGTAAGATCAGTTACTCTGTATTATAATACTTATCTTGCGTATTTTCAATTAGAGTTATGGAGATTAGTGTTTTTACACATTTGAAATCATGAATAGATCGATGTTAAACCACCATTAGAAAGCTGAAATCACTGGATGGCCTTCTTGTCCTGGTATGGGACTCATCAGTGTCAGTGCGCATCCACGACTCCCGCGACTCGCACTATTCATACCCAGGAACTTTGGTCTTGCGCTCGAATGCCTAATCTCTGGACCACAAGGTCGGCATCCATTGGTGTTAATGTCTAACTCTGATCGATCTAGAAGTTTTGAGTGACCTAACATGTTTGTCTTTTGTGGTTTCTGCCTACACGTGACAAGGTTGAACTCCACTGGTAACGTCTTCTCACTAGAACTTCGAGAATTCCCTCATGAAGCTAATAATCACTAGTGAGCACATTTTACGATGTTTTTAATTCAATTTTAGTTATGGAGATTAGTGTTTGTTGCCTATTGAAGTCATCGATCAATCATCTTTCACATTTCGATATGATGAAAAAATGTATATATATACTGACTTCAGCAAGTTTTTCCCAGACCATGATAGCTAATGAATATTCGATAGTAATCTAGGATAAATTGTCTTCACAGAAACCCTAGAATTATTAGAAAAAATAAACAGGAAAGTAAGATATGTAAGTAAGTTTTTCTCTAGTGGATTAATTAACGATAAACACATCAACCACTCAATACTGGCGTAATGATCGAGAGGTCAAAGTTCCTCATGTAACCCTGGTCCATTTCAAGGCTATGAAAAGAGAGATGTTTACTGCTGAGGAGTCCTATACTAGGACGAAACGAAGATCCAAGACTTTCAGGTTTGAAATGGTTCTCCAACTGAGATCAATTTGGATGCTTCATTTAAGTAGAAATTACTGTTAGTTCAAAGAGGGAAAAACTGCTTGCGTATAAAATAGTATGCTTACGGATTTAATTATTGATTGTGTCTAATTTCCCTGGTTGAATATTCATTGTTTTTAGTGTTTAAGAATAGATGTTTCTTACAAATTATTAATATTTCGATTCTTTACTTCATAAAGGCAAGTATTTAATATAATCCATTCCAACCAACATTTTTAATGAACTCTAAATTAGATTCAATAAACAGTTCTTCATTGTTATAATGATCAATATTATTAGATGAAATGTTCCTTAAAATAATCATACATAACCAGCATCTCAACTACTGTTTCGAAGAGCTAGTCCAGCTATCGTAGTCTTTACCGAAAACCGGCGAAACTGTTTCTCTGTTGCATTAATTTAAATCTGCACAATGGTCTACATTTCCTAGCTCTGTTGCCATACGTTTGAAGATACCAACATATCGCAAGAGCTGAGTGTCTCCTAGAGCATGGTCGGTTTTTGTCGCTTAACCTACTTTATGACCATCTTTGTGGTCTGTCATATTAAGTCAGCTTCGTCAGCTTATGATATAAAATATTCATCTCTTTTTGTAAAACATCGACTCTGTCGTCTACCATGGTGTTAAGTGATCGAGGACTCTTTTGGTTCGTTCTTTCATATATATCATATCAGTTGTTTTTTGCGACGTTGTCTACATCTGCATCGATTTCCTCTCCTGAGAAGATCTGCTGAACATTCAGGGAGAGTTGACTGAGCCACAACTGCTAAAATATGATACTGTCTACTTTCCTGTCCTTTATTAGACTTTTCATATACTTTCTTGTTTGCGATGGAGTCTGATCTCCCATTTGCACTTGATTGAAAGGCTGATCAAGGGCTTGTTGTTCTGCTAAGGGGATGGCCTTTATTACAGCTTGTTTTAATACGAAATATGGCTTTTCCGTACCCTGCATGGCTAGAACCTATTGTATGTTATTCGCTACTTCATCCAGAAGCAGTGAGCTTGAGTGGCAAAATTCATCTCGTTGTGAATGAATATGGTTGACCAAAAAGTAATCTTCAATTCTAATGAACTAAGGTTGAGTGTTAGTGAATCTAAAAGGAGGACTCGAAAGATCCAGAGACCTCGTGGACGACGTTTGTGAAAGACTTAGAGTCTCATTATTCGAAGACATGTTAACATACAATTAGCACATGAATAAATCAACTTACATATAAGCGAAGGAAATTAAATAGATAGTAATAATGCTATTTTCAATTAGAGTTATGAAGATTAATTGAAATCACCGATCAGTCATTGTTAGACCACCATTAGAGACCTGGAAGCATTTGATGGCTGTTTTGTCCTGGTATGAGACTCATCAGTAGTGCGCATCCATGAATCCTGCACCTTGTAGGATTCGAACCCAGGACGTTTGGTCTTGCACACGAACGCTTAATCTCTGGATCACAGGGCCGGCATCCAATTGTGTTAATGTCTAACTCAGATCAATCTAGAAATTTTGCGTGACCTTACATATTTGTCTTTGGTAGTTGCTGCCTACAACCGACAGGGCTGAACTCCACTGGTCAAGTCGTCTCACTTGAACTCCGAGAATTTTCTCACGAAGCTATCAGCAAACGATTCATTGTTATTATAAGGAACAGACATATTAAACTGTATGCATAATGTCGTTATTTGTAACTGTTATTCTATTCAAGTTATGTTTATGAAATAATTTACATGTAATGAAACTCCGTATGTTGCTACCTTAACGGTGTATACAATTTAAAAGACAAATACAAAGCGTTGATCGAGTTTATTTTATCGCACTATACCGATCACAAAACCAAAGGCATTCGAAGCGAAAATGAAATGATATGCGAGTGCCGAAAAGTGAATCAATAGGAGTATAATGTACACTGATATATATGTGAGATTGAATGAGTCACCGAATTATTTAAGTGATCAACATCAATGCTAGTGGGATAAATATGTGCGTATAGTGTAACCAATACTACTCAAGCGTACATGATCATATAAGCGTATCAATAATAAAAGTACATACATGTAGACAAGTTGTTGAAGTTTAATGCTTCAGTCTGTTAAATAAGTAACTAAAAGGATAAACAAACTGAATTATATGTCAGGCACTGTAAGACAGTGAGTATACTGTTGTTTCATCAAGATCTTTGTAATATGGATCGTTGAAGATGAGATGACAGGTTTGATAGTTAATGTTGTATTACAGATTAACTAATGGAATAAAACGGATTCATCTCAAGGTCTATCTGGATATGGTAATTCACATACAGATGTTCCTGTTTCACTACTAACAAGTTGTTTGATGCAGAGTGCTAAGGATTCTAATTCTAGTATCTGATGTCAATGATTAATGAAAACTGATTGCAAACTAATTGATTTTAAAAAGTGAATATAACTTAAAAAGAACAGACTGTACTATAACTTACTTGATTTGACTCAATCGTCTTTAACGAAGACTTCACTTGATTACACGCAACATCAATTTCTTCACTTTCCGGATTATTACTACCATACATTTCCAATAGATGTGTTTTAGCTCGATTAACTCGATCAATACTCCTACAGGCCATAATGACAGTTGCACCACGACGAGCTAATTCACTAGCTGTGTACAAACCGATTCCAGTGTTACATCCTGTCACAATTGCTATTTTCCCATCTAATCGTTTGTTGATGACACATAACTTTCTCCATGAACCAACAGTCTCTTTGTTTGTTTTAGACATGATAGAATGACTTAGAGATGTTGATTTTCTGTAATCTGATGTGTAGTGGTGAGTGAAGTGTACACGAATTTAAAACTAAATGAATGTAATCTTTAACCAATCAGATTAGTCTAATGTTAATAGACATATTATATACTGACCCTATTTTTTATGTAGGTGTAATACAACAGACATGATTATTTCGAGCAGATTCAATCAACTCAAATGAATATTGAGCTAAATATTCTAGTGGATATTCGTTTGTGTTTTTTCATTTAATAAGATGAAATCTCGATGATGAAATCTTCTTCATAATATCAGTTTTATTGTATACTTGACTATTTAACTGATAAATAATATTACTAGGGATTGGGTTGATAGTTTTTAAATAAATTGATCATTGGATAAATTGTGATTAATTCAAAGAATGATATAATTGTAAAAATTCATTGAGTTCAAAATTAAACTTAATCTATTCCTTTGGAGAAATTAATAAATAAACTAATTAAATCAACACACGTTTCTTCAATACAACAATCAAAATGTAAATAAGTTTGATCATGTTAATTTCATGTCTATTCAGTCAAGATGAAATCAGGAATTAATCATCATTAGACCAAAATTAGATACCTGCAAGCAATGGACAGCTGTTTCGTCCTAGTATGAGACTCATTAGCAGTACGCATCAACGACTACCGCTACTCGCAGGGATCGAAACCAGGACCTTCGACCTCCATACCACTGAGCTGAGATACAACGGTGTTAACATCCAGCTTTGGTCAATCTAATAAATTTAGAGCAAGACCGATGGTCTAGAGTTCGATTTCTGAGAGTAGCGATAGTTGTCGATGCGCACTACTGATGAGTCTCACACTAGGATGATTCGGCCATGCAGTGCTTCCAGGTTTGTAATGGCACCTCAAAGATGATTGACTCATGCTTTCAAAGTAAAAAAGCCATCTCCATAACTCTATATTGAAAAATCAAGATGATTCTGTAGGAGACCAACTTATATTTTCAATTCTCTGTGTATTATGGAAAATGGTATAATTGTAATGAGAGAGAGCGTAAAGTTAAGACTATTTGTACGCTATTAAGTGATGTAAAATGTGAACTGAATTAAATCTTCATTATTTGCGTAAATAGTTGATGTTGAATGGATCGTTTAGCCTTCCGTTCTATTTAATGCAGTAGACTTTATTAATATATGAAAAGATTTTTCTTTCTTTCTAAACTTTTTGAATTAGTTTAATGTTGATACTATCGATTTGATTATTATTGTAAGTAGAGTATTTTATTCGATAACTGATTTGATGTATAGATCTTCTAATTCTACAAGATAATTTGGAGGTGATTTTGTGTAGCCTGACTCTTCTATTGCACACGTAACAACAAATGCAAGAGAAGACGACCAGTGTAGTAGCAGAAAACTCAGAAGCAGCGGGTTTCAACATAAAAAAGGGAAAAGCAAGATTATCCAATACAACATAACATGCGTCAACCAAATCACTGTTGATGGAGATCTCTTGAAGGACCTAAAAACCTTTACATATCTGGACAGCATCATGGGCAGTCAATGTGGATCTGATGCATGTGTGAAGGCGCGGATAGCAAAGCAAGGGCAACACTTCTACAATCGAACAACATCTGGAACTCAAAAACAAATATCAAACAACACCAAAATTAGAATTTTAAATTCAAATGTAAAGACAGTTCTACTGTATGGAGTGGAAACTTGGAGAAATACGAAAGCCATCATCCAGAAGATTTAAGTACTCATTAACAATTGTCTACGCAAAATACTTCGGACTCGTTAGCCAGATACTATCAACAACCAGATTCCAGTAGAAAAGAGGAAATCAGGAAAAAGCGGTGAAAGTGGATAGGACACACATTAAGTAAAAGCACCGAACTGCGTCACAAGATAAACCCTCACATGGAACCCTCAAGGTAAAAGGAAAAGAGGAGGGCCAGGAAGCACATTACGCCGAGAAATAGAGAAAGATATGAGATGAATGAACGAAAATGTGACAGAACTGGAAAGGGCAGCCCAGGACAGAGTTGGTTGGAGAAAACTGGTCGGCGGCCTATGATCCACTGGAGGTAACAGTAGTAAGTAAGCTAGATTTTGTGTAGCTTAGATACTCATTGACGTGAATGATAGTTTGACAAGTACACTGTCTAACGTAGAAAACATTACAATTTACACTTTCCGGCGATAGGATGAAAGATCAAAGTTGAGATAAAATTTCTAGATAAGTTGCGCGTATTGTGAACAACCAGATTACATACGCATAATTAAATATTATCGGTTGCTAATGCTTAGTCGACTGAGATTTATTTACACTAAATGCTCTGAATTTCTGTATCGTTTATGTTGGGACACAAGTTCCTAGTTTTATTATTTATTATTATGATTATGATTATTACTGCTACTACTACTAGCAGTAGTTTTATCGTCAATAATTCTAACACTATTACTACTATTATTATTATAAATATTAGTAGTGATTATAGGATCAGAACTGATGTTTGGACTGAGGAATAACAGTCTAGGTAGTTTAGATACGCGTCTTGCCCAGTTTTAAAACCAAAACAAGTGATTTGGGTAAATAACGGTTCTAATATTCATCATAAATATAAATATACATCATTACTTAAACAATATTATCACTCAGTTATTCCCCCAACAATTGTCCAGTTATTCAAATAAATGATATTCTATCCCTCCTGGATTGATGAGATTCATATTTATAATATTTAGTTGATTTATAACACAGAGTGTTTCCTATTCTGGAAGAGTGCTTCAATACACAATGAAAATGCACAATTCCAGTCCAAGCAAGCAACTCAATCCAAAGGTGAACAAAGCAATATGGCTGTCGCCATGACTAAGTATCAGCTTAAACAACATAAATGCAGTTCAGAAAGAAACATAGAAACTCATTGATGGCAAAAGAAATAGAAACTATAATAAAACACAAATATTATCATCTCAAAATGCAGTGGAACAGATTAAAAAAATGTACAACTGAAGGAATCAATAAGAACAAATTACATAAATGTATACATGGAGCGAATTTTGCAAACAAAGCCTTCAAAAATGGATCTTACAGTAGCAGTAGTAGTAGTAGTGTAGTGCGAGCTACTTATAAGTAGTATTTGACGTGAGTGTCAACGTAATGTCTGGCAGCAGAAGATGGGGGAAGATGAAGAAAGGAAGATTGGGAACACAATGGAATTTGTATGAAACGCATGAAGAGTGACAATGGATTGATGTTTTGCAACAGGGACAGTCCAGTTCGGTATGATGGACTGATATTTTGCAAATTAACGACTTATGATATGGTTTTCCGATTTTACTGAGTAACTCTGTAATTTTCGTTAAATACAGTTCGGTTGCCCCACCTGTGTTCTCGTTCACTACATTTGGTGTCGCTGCCTGCTCGAAGGAAGGAGCTCCCGCGGCCGAAGTAGTTGGAGGATGGAGATTTGCGGAGCTTCCTGGAGGAGTTTGAGGCCGCGGTGGAGCTGGTGGGGGCCCGTGGAGGAGTTGGCGGTGCTGGGGACGCTGTGGGGAGGTGAGGCAAAGGCGGTGTACGACAGCCTGGACGGTGCCGCCGGGAAGACGGTGTGGGAGACGGTCACCGGGCGTCCGATGACGGAGTCCTACAGCCCAGTGGACAAGGAGAAGGCGCTGCAGGAGTTCCGGTTGGCGAGGCTGTCGGCTGATGGTGACCCGCTGGTGCTTGCTGAGGAGCTCATCAGATTGTTGCGCCGTGCTCTGCCGAATATCGATGAGGAGTCGGGGGCGCAGTTGTTGGCGTCGCAATTTGGTTGCCCCACCCATGTTCTCGTTCACTACAGTAGTAGTAGTAGTAGTAGTAGTAGTAGTAGTAGTAGTAGTAGTAGTAGTAGTAGTAGTAGTAGTAGTAGTAGTAGTAGTAGTAGTAGTAGTAGTAGTAGTAGTAGTAGTAGTAGTAGTAGTAGTAGTAGTAGTAGTAGTAGTAGTAGTAGTAGTAGTAGTAGTAGTAGTAGTAGTAGTAGTAGTAGTAGTAGTAGTAGTAGTAGTAGTAGTAGTAGTAGTAGTAGTAGTAGTAGTAGTAGTAGTAGTAGTAGTAGTAGCGTGAGTAGTAGTAGTATCAGTAATCGTTAAAATTATACGCGTGTAAACATAAATTTCATTAGAAAATGAAACATCGTACAGATTCCTCCCTGTCAGCTTCTATCCTGATATGTCACTTTGTACAATTCGCCTTGCAGAACAATTCCATCCTTGATATTATAATAAGAAGCGATCATTCCACAAAGTGTATCAAGTGTATAACAAGCGATTTATTGATCACTTAATATCATGTATACATATTTTTCATAGATAATAAGTTAACTGATCAGTCCTATTCTTTTCCATTCGTACTTTTGTAGTCACAATGCCAATGAATAAACATGCCATTGAGAACAATAAGTCATATGGTACAAATAATTTGAATAATCTGAGTTAATCTTTCAATTAAAATGATCTAATAATCAAGAATACACTTAATTGAAGTCAAGTTAACTTTTAAATCTGATTTTAAAAAAAAACTATTACTTTGTTGTAATCAATCAGTCGGTACTTTCAATGGTATAATCCATTTAATACAAAAGTTGATCAACACGTTTTGATAAAAATTGTCAAAATACAATGTCACTTGTGATTAGAATGAAGTGTTTTGAAAATCTATTTCCTTTTTTCAAATAGTTTCAGCGATGATATCAAAGCTGGATGTTTTGGTTGGAGAGCTTTCATTGTTCTTCTGCTAAACAACAACATCATCAGCACAAACTTCAAACAGCAGAAGTGAAGCACCAGGTGCAAACAACGACAGGTTTAAGGTCAACAACAACCAATCAAGATCGAGGTTAACAGAACAAGCTACAGGTCAAACGTGGAGAAATTCGAATACTTCACTTCTGCTATCTGAAGTTTGTGTTGATGATGTTGTTGTTTAGCAGGAGAACAATGAAGGCTCCACAACCAAAAGACCATCCAGCTCAGAGAACCAAACACCACCACAATCATCTACCTGAGCTTCAAATTTTCTTCACCATCTCAAGATGATATCAAATATTCAGTATGTAACCCATCTAGAAATTTTGCTCTACCAACTTCTAGTTTCTATTATCCAATTTGTCTTATAATCTAATGCTTGTGTTATTTGTGATTGTTGTCGATTGTTTCCTCTGTTAAATGTAAGTGCATTATTCTATGTGCTTATTAAGTCGTCAGCTCATTTTTCGCCTTCCTGATAAACCCATGGACTCCTTTTAACACTCTTCGAACACTCAAGGAACATTCAGGCTAAACGAAAATAATCGCTAACTTTGATCAAAATGAGGTTTTGCGTAAATTCATGCATTGTCTTCCATAGTTACCGTCTACAGCCGACAGGGATGAATTCCACTGATCACGGCCTATCACCAGAAATCCTAAAATTTCCTCATGAAGCTAGTCATTAGTGAGTACATTTTGTCATTTTTTTATGGAGATTGCTGTTTTACATTAAAATGATGACTAGTGGAGTTCAGTCCTGTCGGCTGTAGGCAGCAACCATCGAAGACGATGGGTGTGGTTGAGCGAAATCCTTAAATTAATCAAAAGTTAAACCTTAACATAATTCGATGCTGGCTCAGTGATCAAAAGGTTAAGCGTTTGTGCGTCAGACCGACGATCCCAAGTTCGATTCATGCAAGTAGCTGAGGATGGTGGATGTGCACTGCTGAACAGATCCATGCTAGAACAAAACGGCTTTCCAATGCTTCCAGGTTTCAAACAGTGGTCTAGCAATGATTGATTCATGATGTCAATCTGAAATTAGATAACTTAATAAACGCAATGTGTCCGAATTGTCACAGAATACATGAAATGAAGAAATGTAAACTAATGAACTTTGCGTTATTGTTCATCACATATTCTATTCAGACAAAATCAAATGATCTGAGTAAGTTAACGTAATCTTTGTCGTCCATATTGTAGTGAAGGAGAACACAAGTGAGGGCAACCGAATTGTATTTAACGAAAATTACAGAGTTACTCAGTAAAATATGAAAACCATATCGTAAACGGTTAATTTGCAAATCTTCAATCCATCATCAATCCATTGTCTGACATTTCACCACTATTCATGCATTTCATACAAACTCCATTGTGTTCCCTCTCTTCCTTTTTTGATCTTCCCCCATCTTCTGCTGCTGCCAGACATTACGTTTACACTCGCGTCATATACTACTTATAAGTAGCACGCACCATAATATAATGGGTGACAGATAAAAAAGAGTTTAAGTTTACTGATAAATTATTACTTGTCATGGAACAGCAAATTGTATTTCCATTTCTCTTATTAAACCTGTGTAGGGGGGGGGGCATCAGCTGTTTGTCTGTACTCGTATAAACCAAAGCATTTTAAGAGAATCCTATGACGTTAAAAATCAATTACATTGTGGTGCTGTGTTGCGAACTACTTATAAGTAGTATATAGCGTGAGTGTCAACGTAAAGTCTGGTAGCATAATATGGGGGGAAGATCAAGAAAGGAAGAGTCAGAAAACAATGGAATTTGTATGAAACGCATGAAGAGTGACAATGGATTGATGTTTGGCAACAGGAACAGTCCAGTTCCATAGCATGAACTGATCTTTTGCAAATGAACGATTTACGATATGGTTTTCCGATTTTACCGACTAACTCTGTAATTTTCGTTAAATACAATTCGGTTGCCCCACCTGTGTTCTCATGCACTACAATATGACCAGATTCTAATGAGTGAAATTAGATCAATGACTTATTTTCTGGTTTGTTTGACAGGTTATTGATCGAGCCTGATATTAAATAATGTTCCATAAGGACGAACGAATGTAATGAGAATGTAAATCTCAACTATATTAATAATTGAAAAATCTAACCATTCGAATGCGCCTAACGAAGAATTCTATAATCGAAAACAATTGAATTATGACAGAGAAATCTTCAATATGAAATCAGACAAGGCTAATAACACTGCTGTTACGATGAATAACTCTGTTTATGAAAGAAAACTCAACCAAAAATCAAGAAAAACAAATCGCTTTAGGTCAAATGTAAGTGGGGTAAACTTCAAAACAGCTGAATGTGAGAGGGAATGAACACAAACTTCGATTAAAGAATTTATAAGAGTATTAGAAAGTAAAGTGTACTAAATCATTCATGGTTTATGTGTGATGACAATGAAATAAATTTTGAAAATTATTAAAGTAAAATATAACGAAAATTAGTCTACGGCATCGATAAAGTATACAAATAAACAATAGCTAAGTATGAACATGCTTTTAAAAGCCGTAATAGATTTCAGTGTCGATTAGCCATTAATAATTTCATATCTACATAGCATAGACTTTTTGTATGTAGGGTCAGATTAATCGATCCTTCAAATGATAACTACAAAGTGAATAACATTCATTGTTGAACTGAAATTGATGATAATTATGTAGTTAGTTGTTGTTTCAGAACGAAATCATTGTTGGGGATGTTAGATTTCCACAACTCGCTTGATAAATATCTTCATTTCGGATTTATTTCATGGACCGATCAGATGACCTTGAGATCACATTTGCCACCAGGAAAATCCTTGGTTGTGATTGGTTACTGTGTCATTTTAGTGTGCCATTTTTGTGACTGTCCGAAGGACGTCTCCATAGAGTATAAATAAACGCAATTTGAGTGCTTGGATTAATTGTGTGCTGGCTGAGTGTTTGTAGAATACAATTTCTACACTATATCAAGACTTCTCACTGATACCTTTTGGCTTACTGATTATCGGTGAACCTTGTACTAAGATATTCGATCATATTGATGTGTGATGATATTTTCCCTGAAAAATCTGAGATCAGATTGTCGATTTACTCAAAGTTCAATCGCTGCGATTTACAAACTATAATTTTCTTCTCCAGTGTTTTACATTAACTCGATACCCAACTATTGTATAACTATTCATTAAAGTTTAAACAAACGTTCTCATAGATTACTTGACTAATCTAACTGTTAGAATGTTATTCTGTTAAATCTCAGGGAATATTTCTTGAACCATCTATCTATCATGCGAGTAACATTAGTTCTCAGTAAGTGAATTAATTCACTTGGTCAAACCGAACTGTGAGCAAGATTTGTTGTACAAACTAGTGAAATGTACTTGTTTGCTTTTGTATTTTGTTTTTACTACAAGATTAATTGTGTAAAAAACTAATTTACGACAACATCAAAAGAAAAAGTAACATTGATTTATTAATTAAAACAACAACACAAATGAACCAATATGTTGTGTTCTACCAAAATTTTCACATTGAGGATTTTTCTAAAAACAAAAAATATTCATTATTCAATTTAGAGTACAATTTATCACTAAAACAAAGTACATCATATGATTCAAGTTGAATTTTGACAAAAAAAATAAACAATTGAATATTGATTATTGTTTCAATGAATACATACATTCTGAAATACAAACAAATATGAAAACAGTAGTAGGCAAAAACAAATACTTGATGTATTGAGCAAAGATTTAATGAATTTCAGTATGAGTGACTTTTTGGTTGTTCATGAAATGTAATTGCATTTATAAAGGAAAATGTCATTTTTATAATTTTGTGACTTTATATTCAAGCAGAAAGTTACTGATTAATTTATGTCACTTTGAAATCATGAGTTGATCAGAGTTAAGCCAGCCCACTGGATGGCCGCTTCGTCCTGGTATTGAGATCATCAGCAGTGCTCAACCACAACTCCCATGATCTTTGCTCTTGCGCGTTAACGCTTTACCTCTAGACCACTGAGCAGGCATCCAATAGCGTTAATGTCTAACCTTATCCACTATCTTTAGTGAGCTGTGCTTCACATCCGGCCAGGTTGAGCTACAATGGTCACAGCTTGTCACAAAACTCGAAGAATCTTCCTCAAGGAGTTAGTCACTAGTATACACATTGTATTATAGAGTTATGGACATTTGTTGTTTTTGATTAGAAATCATGGTTGTCTAACATTGATCGATTCATGATTGTTACGCTCGTCTCTAGGTATGCTTAAACTGTTACGAGTTCACCTTAGACGAATAACGAGAACAAAACAATGAACCAGTGTCCAGGTAGGCTACTGTGATCCCTTGACCAAAAGGTATCAATGAGAAGTCTTGATATAGTGTAGAAATTGTATTCTACGAACAACAGCAAGCACATAATGAATTCAAGCACTCGAATTGCGTTTGTTTATACTCTATGGAGACGTCCTTCGGACAGTCACAAAAATGGCACACTAAAATGACACAGTAACCAATCACAACCAAGGATTTTCCTGGTGGCAAATGTGATCTCAAGGTCATCTGATCGGTCCATGAAATAAATCCAAAATAAAGATATTTATCAAACGAGTTGTGGGGATCTAACATCC